ACGGTCGTGCTTATGGACCCTCTCACACGGCATATTATGATTTCGAGTGCTTGTTGGACCCCTCCAATCCCCAAGGTATGATCGAGAAGCGTCACAAAGCTGTGGCATATGCTTTTATCATCATCAACAGGGAATTGGAGGTAGTGGAAAAATTAACGTATATGGGGGATGACCCTGTGAATCATTTCATTGATACTTTGGAGAATGCATGGAAGAGAATCAAATCTGCCATGCCTAAATACAAAATATCTATGACACGTGAACATTGGCAAGCCTATAGACGTCAGAACACATGTGAAATGTGTTATAGTCCATTCAAATCAGCTATGGACAAGCACCGTCATCATGATCATGCTATTGAATTTAATAATTATCTAGCTGCCTATTGCCAAAGGTGTAACATGTTATGCAGAAATTCTTATAAATATTTATATACATTCTCTCACAATGCGGCTTATGACCTCGGGGTAATTTTAAATGAATTGTCTAACCTCCCTAACCGTGAAATTGACATTGCTTCCAAAGATGGATTTAAGTTCATGAAAGTAGATATCGGTAAACTTCGGTTTATGGATAGTCTGGCTTTACTAAATGGTGGGCTGGAAAAACTAGCTAAAGAACATATCAAGGAAGGTAAACCCACCACTTTCACCTCAGTTATGCTAGATGACGTCCCTGTAGCCGCCCACCATTTATTAAAGACAGGCAAACAGGTCTTCTGTTATGACTACATTTCATCTTTGGAGAAATTAAATGAACCGGCTCTTCCTCCTCCCGAAGCCTTTTTCAATAGTTTAAAACACGAGGCCATAAGCGAGAGTGATTATACACAGGCTAAAGAAGTCTTCAGATTAGCGGAATGCAAGACCATTGGGGATTACTTGAAGGTCTATTTGAAAGTAGATACTGGACTATTGTGTGATGTGTTTACTGTATGGCGCAAGACCATGCTCGAGCTGTACAAGTTAGACATTACACACTATGTCTCGTTATCTAGTTATGCATGGGACGCTTTCTTGTTTAAGAGCCAAGTTGTCTTGGACTCTATTTCTGATCCCCATTTGTACGATGTATTGCGTAGAAATCTAAGAGGCGGATTTACCTCTGTTGTACGACAACACACAAGTGTACAAAATGAGCATACGGGCGCTGATCCTTCTAGCACTGATAAATATATTCTGTATTTAGATTTTAATGGCTTATACGCCACCTGTATGACAGAACTGCTTCCTCAAGGCGGGATCCGTAAATTATCTGCTGCCGAATGTGATGATTGGCTCCAACAGGGATTGGAAAATATTACATGTGATGGGGATAAGGGGTATTGGGTCATGTGTGATACCAAGCATGTCGCACCTGAGGTGGCTCGATACACCGATGACTTACCTTTAACCCTGTCGCATGCTAATATTTCTACTGATCTTTTGTCCGATTATAGCAAACATATTTTAAATACCGAAGATCATAAACTCCCCAAGAAAAACAATAAATTAATTGCTTCACATCTCCCTCAAAAAGATTACTTGGTCAGTTTAGATTTGCTTCAGATGCTGATGAAATTGGGATTGGAAGTAGCTAAGGTAAATGCAGTTTATGAATTCCAACAGAGCAAGTACCTTAAGGAATTTGTCGAAACAAATGCTCGTGAACGTGCAAATACACCTTGCGCCATTAAGGGTAAAGCTTTCAAGCTGGTATCAAATGCAATTTACGGCAAGAGTTTGACAAATGTGAGTAAATATGGCGATCAGCATTATTTAGTTACATCACGAGACAAATTCCAAAAGCATGCACGCAATCCGTTCTTCAAACGGAGCATTTTGTTAAGTGAAGACAGAGTTATTTGCACAGTTAAGAAACAATCACTTAAAGTCAATACACCAACTTATTTGGGGTTGCAGATCTTGCAAATAGCTAAGAGGATCCTATATGATTTTTGGTACAATACCGTCAAAGCTCATTATGGAGACAAAGCTAGATTGCTGTATACGGATACAGATTCGTATTTGATTGAATTAAGCTGTCCAAATGCTTTTGAGGAATTAAATAAACTGCCTTTATCTCAGCATATGGATTTCAGTAATTTCCCTCCTGAAAATCCCTATTTCGATGACTCTCGCAAAGGTCAACTAGGTTTGTTAAAATCGGAAGTTGGGGCCAAAATTATCAAAGAACTCATTGCATTGAAGCCTAAAATGTACTCGATTCACACTCAAGATCAGGTTCAGATCTGTCGTTGTAAAGGTATTCCCACTTATCATCAGTCTAGACTCACTCATGCTGCTTTCCAAAGTGCTTTAGAGTTAAATATTGGGCAGAGGTTCCAATCCAGATCTATTAGGAATGTTAAAGGCGGTATGTGTACCTGTCTCACTACAAAACGTGGATTGTCCGCCTTTGACGATAAACGTTATGTATTGAGTGCTACACAGTCTTTGGCGTATGGACACCCCGATATTCCTCAAGCAGAAATTCATGAAGAGAATGAGGAGGAGGAGGATGTACCTGCACCTGCTGCTGCTGCACGTCCTGTGAGACGTGGATTCCATCCCATATTCAACATGTGGGGAAAACGCGATGCACTGGTGAACAAGACGTATCCTCACAATTAGTATCTGAAGAAATTGGTGATAGAAAATTTGCAACCTCCCCTAACCTGAGATTGATGTTTGACAATTGCTACCTCCCCTAACCTGTCATTGTTGTTAGAAAATTGCTAACCTATCATTGATGTTTTGAAAATTGCTACCTTCCCTAACCTATCATTGATGTTTGAAAAATTGCGGGGCCCCTGACTCATCACTGATGTTCTGAAAATGCAGTCTCCCTTAACCTATGTTGAAAATGTTCTGTTGTATATCTATGTTGTAAATGTTCTGTTGTACATAAAAAAATAAAAATTGTGAAATGTATACTTTGATGTTTTTATAAAACCTTGCCCCCCTAACCTATGTTTTGAAAATGTTCTATGCAAAAAAATAAAAATATGAAAATGTATGCTTTGATGTTTTCTATGAAACCTCCCATGTTTAAATATAATAACCTTATCATTCTTATGTCAGTACAAACCCAACACGAGTCATGGATAGTTCACCTATCACTGAAGAACAACTCGATATTTTCAATGAACCCAGCAGAATAATCATTGCAGGATTTTCCAATGGCGGAAAATCTCATTTGTGCACTAAACTCGTACAAAAATACCATCTGAAATTCTCCAGTATTATTATATGCGGCGGCAGTTACACAGCATTGCTAGACGATCCAGTAATTAACAAGAAAATAATAGCTCATTCTGAAATTATCAACCCTTTAGATGAACGTACAGATGATTCGCCTATTTTAATTATTATCGATGACTTGTTCATCGAATGTGCCAATTCCAAAATTGTGTCTGATATCTTCACTAAAGGCAGACATCTTGCTATTTCGTGTATATTCATTACCCAAAATATATTTTTCTCTGGGAAATATGCTAGAAGTATCAGTTTAAACGCCTCCCATTTCATATTAGTGAAATCTAGAGATTTAGCTCAAATTGAGACTTTAGGGCGGCAGTTATTTGGAAAACAAGATTCTAAAAAGCTTTTGGATATCTACAAGAAAGCCATCAGTAAACCTTATGGGTATTTATTGGTGGATTTAGGAGTGAAAACCCCTGAACGCATCACCTTCCGTAGCAATATTGTTGGTGAGCATCCATACGAAATTGTTTACCAATGGTGAACGTACTAAACAACATCCACAAGGGGAGGTTGGGGGGGGGTTGGGTGTATAGGATGTGTTCCCCACAACAACAACAACAACAACAACAACCACAAGGGGAGGTTAGGGGGGTTGGGTGTATAGGATGTATAAAACAGCTAAAACCATACAATCAGATATCACTTTATTAGAAGATGGAGCACGTACTAGATAAAATTTATTATAACCCCTCATCCACAGGAGGGTTAGGGGGGGTCATGGATCAAACATATATTTTGCTCGCCTTTAGGGTTGAAAACATGTCTCGAACCACGCAATTTATCTGGATAAGGCACGTATTCTCCTAGACGGATGGGATGCTGAACTGCTATGGAATTGATATAAAAACCAGAAATACTCTGTATACCTAGACTAGAACCTTCTGTCTCGGCAAAGAACTCTTCTAGCTTATTATCCAATTCAGCAATCCATTGATCTACGACAACACTAGCCTCATGCCTAGATACACTGCGCTGCTCAGCCCTTATAGGCAACTCTCCCTCAAAATCAGGTTCATTTTCTTGATTAAGCCGTTGTAAATTGAATGTAAAATCTGGGTATATCAAGAGGGCAGGAGGGAAATTGGGGTGAACGGCATCAAATAAGGATTCTATTTGCCGGATAAAATAATCGCGATATATAGTCAAATAATGGGCAGGATCTCCTTGGGCATGATCTGGGATGCTATATGAATGGCGTATGTACCCCCCATTGAAATTATTGATCACTTCAAGCACTTGGGGTTGAGGAGGAAGCAAAACATCTACCTGCTGCTGCTGTTCCTGAGGTGGCGGAGAATTAGCGATTGGCTGGCTGGCATCCATATCTGAATCTGCTTCCCAAACCAAATGCAGGGAGTCGTCACTGTCCTCCAGTTGCGAATCTATAAGGAACAAGAATATCGATTTTCAATAAATAAAATTATATATAGGGAGTTTAATAATAATAATACTAGCATTATTGAAATATGAAAATAATAATTAATGCGGATGATACTTACAATTAGAACTTTCCCTGTTGTCATTATTTTCTGGTGTTGGTGAGCGAGCTCGGCTCGTGCTAGGCTCTTCACCACCTCCTCCACGAGGATATTCTTCCTCTACCTCCACTACGTGCTGAGTTGGCGAGCCTAAAATTATAT